GAACAGGGCTTGTTAATGACGAAAATAATTGTGCCAAAAACTGTAATTTCACTTTCGATGTGAAGCTCCCCACTCGAGCCACAGGGCCGAATGGGAAAACAATATATCGGGCAATCAAGCGACATCATTGAGTGCCACTTTTTACGTCATCTATATACTTCTGACCGCTGGTATCCCGAACTCATGGTTCGGTAGCCTCTGCGCTGTTGACCACCCTAGGTGACTGGTGAGAGCTCAAATCGTAGACCTCCGGGCTCTAATTGAAGAAAACCAGGGATTTGTTTGTGGCCCCAAAGTTTCCTACCCATTTGTCCATCGGCCTTCATCGTCATTATAAATCACCCATTTCAGGCCTTTTGCCATCTCATGGCCTGCTTTCGTCCCCAGTAATTTGAATAACTGCACGTTTAGATTCCACAAGGAAGCATTATGTAGACAGTCAGTTAAAACGGCTCCAGTGCGTTTTTCGTAGGTCAGGTGACACTGCACTCGAAACTCTGTCACCACGCTTTAATACTGCTTTGCCAAAAGTCTCCAACCGCATTGCCAATAGTCTCGAAGCGCTCTGAAACCTATCACGTGGAAAAAATAGAAGCTACGAGTTGTCGTTGGTGGGCTCAGTCTGTTCCCATATTTTCCGTTCTGTCTAATATTATAGTTCTCAGTTGCTTCTTGGGGAAGCTGTTATGCCATTTTGTATTCTGGGCACAGGACCATGTCTATAAGTTGTCACCCGACGACAAACGTGACAGAACTGCTTATTAAAAAATGCTGAAATTTATGTAGCGGAAGAAATAATTTCAATGAGTGGGGAGGTTTTAAGGAAGTAGTCTACTGTGGAGCAATGTCCCCGGCAAGAGTCTGGCTGTCAGTTTTTGATTTACCCTCTTTCAGCCGATTTTGTAGCCAACGTGGCATTATAAATACAAGTGCTCTCACCTCTCCCAAGCATTTGAGAACATTGCAGGCGGGAGCTTCGCACGTAACAGGACTCCAGTAATATTCGGCGCGACGCCCAGCACGCTACTTAAGGCTTTGTGGTGATAGGAGGCGTTCGCTTAGATGGGCTAGGAAACGGCTGTAAACTTTAACACAACTCTAGGTAATAGATACTTTGGCACTCTCGCGAAAGCCGGGTACAAGCTGTTCGGACCAGGTCACGTGTGGCAGGCGTAGACGGACTGTTTGGACTTTTTAGCCACTGTGCCCGAACCTTCTACAATCGCCTTGACATTGTCTCCCTACCACAGCCAGATGGATGAGGGAGGTAAGGATGTGGAAGATAGCGCACAAACCTGGCAAACTATAAACCAACTCACGCACAAGTCACCCTCCTGCGTCCCTTCCGCTGAACACATGCTGGCTGTCGTTCGCGCTGGTCAGACTGTCATTTGAAAGCCAGATAGCGTACACAGACCGTACCGCCGAGTTTAGTTCTACTGGCTTTGTGCTCTCTTCTCGGCATACCGGTCGCTTATGTCGGACTTCTGTGGGCGAGTTGCCAGGAGACAACGGGCAGGTGGTCGATCAAACGTGTCTTGGGTGGCAGACGCCTGTCTGATACCTCAAGCTCACCGCCTCTCTTATGAGCTTTTTTAATAAGCAAATGTCGGAGCGCCTTCCTTTATCCGTTCTGTTGCCTACAGGGCCTACTGCACTGACCCGCGTACTGAGGAAAGTGGTGCGTCTTCAACCGATAAGCATCGTTTCACAACTTTCGAGTCGCTACGTCGATACCCGTTTTACTGCTTCTTAGCCCATTTTTCCTGTATTGGGCACTTAGAAGGTGGGTGCATCTATTTCTGAAGAGCATCCGATTGTCTCACAAAATGTGTGCTTACTACAGAACATTTAAATACTCTTGACGAATTAAGAGCCAAAATAAGTAATCGGCAGTGTGGATCTACATACAGAGGTGCTTCGGATGTACGTACTGTCTGGGCGACATCTTGGTTCACATACCAGTCCCCTAAAAAAGGTTCCTTGTGAAATATAAACTAGCCCCTTTGTGCAACAACAGTGATACAGACCCAAAAGATACCAGTGACAAAACTGATACGTCACCAGAAACATCCCTTTTGTAACTCAAAAAGGCAGAGAAACTAAATGTAGCGCATCTCTCTGGCTGGGCGGCATCTGACGAAGACTCGCAACAAGAGCATGACCTCACCCTGAAGCACTCAGAGTTTATTAAGGTTCAGAACTCCATAAAGCCCAGATCCACGACTGTCAGGACAGAATACAGAGGCCCACTAATACCTTATTTATACTGATACTTGATGCAGTTGTGATCATGTCAACCTCGATGTCGCGAATGACACCTCTCCACGCGTGATTATCTGCGACGGCGACTCCGGTGAGCTGGGTCCATTCTCTAATCCAGCCTGCCTTTCATCTAAGTGATTATAGGATGCTCCGCGGAAGCCTCTCCAGGTAGTAATACGTCAATCCTCGGTTGCTAATTTCATCAATCAAGTTTGGGAAACTGGCCGATATCGATGTCTTGGTTGTTAGCTGTCAATAAGGCGAATAGAAACCGTGCTGAATTCAGGGAGGTCCCTCACATAATTTATTCTTGGAGAAAAGTGCCGCCATACTTATCCATTTAAGAAGCTGCAATTGGTGCCTGAACCTCTTCTGTTTAAGTAAATTCGGAGGACATAAGGACAGGACCCACTAACCAAAGCGAACCTTACGAGCACTTTTTCGTCCCTCTCCCCGCCTAAACTAAATGCATCGGCATAGCCTAGGAACTAAAAACAACTAACACATGGCGGAAGGTATGGCGCCCATATATTAACCGAACGATCCACATTTACACCAGACAGAGGTAGGAATTCGGGAAAACAAGTTTCTAAACTCTTAGTAAGTATGCGGTAGCTTATCTTGAAATGACTTCCGGCTTGCAATGCTCGTTACATCCATGTAACTTCGAGTCCTGTTCTCAGAGACCGAGAATCCGAGGAGAAATAGGAACTTGGGCAAGGCTCCAACTCGATTTTTTACCGTTACAATGGCATCCATTCTACAACTAAGTGCCTTGTCATATTTGAATTAGTTCCAATTCCTTGAAACGCTTTTTTGAGTCCCGATGACGGTTATCTTCCCTCCTGTTCCTTAAGATCCCGACTGGATTGGTCTTCACACCTTAGAGCCAAGTGTTGCCTTTTCAGGTCAGTAAGGACGCACCTAACAGGATGGCCAACGAGGTACCCAAGCTCCTCTACCCTCCAAAAGAGACAACTCTAGGTTTCGGAAATGTGATATGGCTTCATAGTGGCTGAAATACCGCAGCTCTTGTGTCTAAGGCACTATACCTGGTCTTAACATTAGGGACATTAGAAACCTGAGGTGAAACCTATCGATCTTAGCCAATAAAAAGTCAATGGCAGTTATACTGATTCAGAGGGAGACCAGAGGGAGAGACCGACCATGCATCAAGTGAACTACATGTGCCCGCATAAAGTGCGACATATAAGACATCGAGTGCTAGGGTGCCGAAATAGCCTGTGAATGAGAATATTCAACGCCAAATACTCCCCATTATTGTGGTCAGACTTTGTAACTCTTGACAAACCAACGCATGAATTGGCTTCAGACGCTCCTCCACGCCTAAAGAAAACGGGTTTTGTGTGACAAATTACTTTGTGCCATACTTAGGTTTGAAGTTTAGTCGACTAAAATGTTTTGGGTAAAAGCATACTGGAAAGTGGTTATGCTAACTCCAGGCTGTAATGACAGGCATCCTCAGCGTAGGACTCCTGCGTTGCTGGAGTCAACGCCTGGTGCGTGCACAAGTCGTTGGCCCACTGGAACCAAATGCGACCACCTCCGGCGTGGTGAACATACAGTATAGGTCAATCCGGTTCATGTAGGAGTAACGTAATCGCTGACACAAGTGAACGAGTCATGCACAACACGACCGACTCGATGGTTGCAGCCATACATCTCGGTCCTTTTAGATTTTAACATCTGAATATAAATCAAGTGACAGCTGTCCTTCGATAAAAGTGGAGTTACCTGGTGCCCGCCCCAGGTTAAGGGACGGCGCATCCCAGCGATCCTTATGCTGTTTTTGAAAGGCCCGATTTATTTTACACATGCTGTCTAGAGTCGTATAAGACATGGGTTCCATGTGACATAAAAAACACACTAGGAGCCCATCCCAATAGTGGGACTCAGTTCGTCCCCTATTCAGACGCCTGAATACAAAGTATGGAGAAATCCTCCAGCGAACATGGGTAGCGGAGCATTAAGTTCGGTCCACTGGTGCAGGTCTCTTGTTCTGCAATCTTGTTGAGAGAGAGCGGAGATTAAGGAATCTCTGGCAGTAATCAGGCAGACGAAACTTTTATTGCTTAATAAGTTAAAGAAAAAACCAAAAATCATAAATCCTAAAATCCGAGCACGAGGAACCGGAAGCAACGCTACGGAGGGCAGGAAATAGTACAGACCCATCCGGCGTACGACCATCAACCCCACTCGTATAACAGAAATGTGATATGTTCTGGCCGACTGCCCCGGGTATCTAGACCATGTGCACTTAAAACGGGCCGAAGTGTAAATGCCAGCCATCCCCACTGACATAGCAAAACCATTCAGGGTAGACAGGGGATCAACCACAGCCAGGTATTGTGTCCGTCGCGCTCACCAGAAATGTACAAGAACCGGTTGACGTTTTAAAGTATGTTCTACCTTGTGAACGACCAAAGTACCTGAGAGCACACACTGATGAGTGCGCACCAATGTTAACGAATAAACTGACGTTTTATTGTGAAAATTTTGTGGCGACGTGGATGAAAATACAAGTCAATTCACCCCAATAATCTATAACCAACCACTATTAGTGTGTAACTAGGGAATCACGGTAGAGCGGTTTATGCTCCAGTGATTTCCAAGTAAAAAAGCGACATCAGTGATGAAAATGTGTCGGAGTAGGGATCCACAACTGGAATGGCATAGCAAATGTTTTTTAAGGAGACGATGTCAACAAACGTAACTTAAGCAGGGAGTTGCGTCTTTTCCGAGATACCACCGCTCGTAGACACAGTGCTGGGAATGTCTGTCCGAGGGCGACGAAATAAGATAATATGGGGCTCTGGCTCATGAATCATGTAGTGCACCCAGCCGACGGACTGTTGGATTCCCAGAGCACGCCACTCGCGCTCAGTCATCAGACGATTCTTTGGCATCTTTGCAACCAATTCCTTCGGTAAGTGCACGTGCCTAAGTTGGGAAAGGAAAAAACATAAATACAAGTAATTCTCCTCCACATTTGTGTTTCATCCATAACTGTCACCGTCGGGCGCATCTCAGACGAGGCAAAGAGAGTGGAGCCCCGGTAGATTACAACCAGTCTAATCAATCAACTTCGGAGGAAACTACGTATCTATTTGAGCTGGAAAAGGGCCTGAAGCCATTCAGAGAGATCTGCATATGGCAGACGAGAGGACAATTACTGGCTTCAGCCTTGGCTTCACGTTTGTCAGCGTTTCGGTGAGGAAAGTGGTGGGACGACAGAAGCATGTTAATATATATTACATATGTAATATTGCAGATATGAAAGACCGGAGTATAACCTCTAACAGGCACGGTTTATCAACGCGAAGGACTAACGGGCCCACTAATAACGGACAGATCATACGATGAAAAGGGTATTAGTTATCATTGGAGGCTAGGCCGGTCTTTATGGCCGTAAAGACTCGGCGGTCGAAGATACATGTTTGAAACGCTTGATAGAGCTGGCGACAACAAAAAGGCCCCAAGCGCTCACGCAGATTAGTTACCTGTATTCATACTTCTCGTCATAATATTTCTCGGAGTAATAGATATTCCTATCACTCATTCCTGTGAGATGGCGCAGAATACTACACACGACGACACCCCCCCTGATTGGTTGTCTGGTGTTGGAATCAACGTTTTACTGAATCGAACAATATAATATCCGCGAAAATCTGGTCATTTAAACTGCCGGAGCTAACGATCTCAAGTAGTTGCAGTCAATATTTATTCTGCGGTGCTGTCTCCGTAAGCATTGGTATGCATTATAAGATATCAGTTTGCTCAAGAAAGACAAACGAGAGCGGAGTAAGGGTCTGTGGAAAGGAGTCGAGTGTGCGAAATGCAACTTCCAAAAAGGTGACAGAGCGACTGTCCTAAGTTTTTAATGCTCTTTGTTTTTGACTCATCTTTACGATTATTAGGCTCCATATGACTTTCTTGTCCTCGTCACGACGTATGTATTGACGTATGGTCTTATAGGCCGCAGGAAGGTCTATATGCCTGTTGATGGAGTTGGCATCTGAGTACCAAGCCTCAAATGTGAGATATTTTGACCTTGTGGTGTCCCGGCCTAAGACGGCTGCTCCTTGAAAATCAAAACTGTGGCTAGTTTATCCGATGTGAGTCGCAAGCTGTGAGTTTGGATCTAGTTTCCGAGTCGCCAGCTTGTGCTAATTTAGGCGGGTCTGCAATTTCTGTCCTGTTTCTTCAACGTAGTTGCATCGTTATAACGTATTCGATAGACAACTGCTGAGGTCTCAGGGGACGGCGGTATGTATGGAATTGGGCAATTACAAACTTCCGTTTTCAGAAAAGCCGCCAACACGAGGCAAATACTACACTTCAGCTGCAATTACTCCCTCTCTCACAAACACAGCTGTGTCCGTACTCTATTCCAAAGAGTTGAAACACAGTGCAGGACATTAGCCGACAAAATAGTTGAACAACAAAAACTTAATTACCTCTTTCGAGCCAATGGATACCCAAGCTACTTTATCAAGCAAACCAAGCGTCGAGTGAACAGATGACGACCACAAGAGGAACAGCCCTAAATCTGCAGGGCAATTCCTTCCATTAAAGAAGGCTCCAGTGCGGTCTCACGACTGTTACAACCCGCCAGGTAGGCATTGTCCATCCACCCTAGGAGAAATTAGCCACAGTTTTGACTTTCAAGGAGCAACCGTCTTAGGCTGGGACACCACAAGGTCAGAATGTCTCACATTTGAGGCTTGGTACTCAGATGCCAACTTCATCAACAGACATATTGACTTCCTGTGGCCTATAAGACCTTACGTCAATACATACGCCGTGACGAGGACAAGACAGTCATACGGAGCTTAAGAGTACCGAGCAAACGTGGTGTGTCGACCAATTCACCCAAAAAGGGGCACAAACACAACTAACTCTAATTGAGATGACGACACATAACCCAGGAGACCATCGACACTCACAAAACACGGCCAGTAAGCGAAGACAGCGAAAGAAGAAAGAAATCGATCGGTCCACGGCTAACTAATTCAGCCGTTTCTTCAAAATTCTGGTCGAATTTTTGCACAAGACGCTTTGATAATAGAGAGCCGCCCAAGCTATTCGAAACGTCAGTCAAACAATTCCCTCGATCTGGTGAGCATTTCCCTTTCCTCAGATTATCGGCCCGGATCTCTTACGTTTGCTAACGTGATCCCAGATGCTTGTGTGCGGCCGGCTGCCGCACGAGTATTAGAAAGAACTTCTCTTATTATGACAACTTTCATCATGGGTATAATCCGGTTGCGCTATCACGTTGGTTTTTTTCAGTTCAGCTCAGTTTATTGAGGGAAATAGGCGTGAGTCTTTGAGTACACCATTTGTTACGTAAAAAATCTGTGGTATATAGAGCAATGTTCTGGGCTGAAAGAGTTCAGACAAACCCATAAGGTAGGACAAAATGGGAACGAGTTACAGGGGGTGAGCTCTATTTCTCATCGCTCTTGGTCATTTCGAAACATAAATGTGTCAAGCTTCTTTTTAAAACTTTGCATCAATGGTGAAATCACAACGTCTGCAGGGAGGGCATTCCATGGTTTGACCACTCGGACAGAGAAGGAGAACTTCCGCACATCCAGCCTTGCCTGCTGAGTGCGCAGTTTTGACGGGTGACCTCGGAGGTTAGTCATGGTAGCAAATTTAAAAAGTCCTCGATGTCCAGGCTACAATCCAACCCCTGTATAATGCGGAATGCTTGCAAGAGATCCCCGCGAAGTTGCCTGAAACTCAAGGGGAAGAAGTTCAGATTTACTAGGCGGGTTGCATAAGGAAAGGAGCTTTGACTCCTAACCATCTTCGTTGCTCTCCTCTGAACTCTTTCGAAGTCCACAGTCTCCAGGCTCGTATGTCGTACTCCAAATGCGGCCGGACGAATGTCCCAAATGTCTTTGAGAAAGCATCTTCGTCAAAGTCTACAAACGCACGCTTGATGTCGTACAGTGCTTACATTGTGCTTTTTGCCACTCTTGGACATTGACCGGATGGTTTTAGGGAACTCGTTGTCAGCATACCGAGGTCCTTTTGGGCTTCGACTTCTTGTAGGGCTGCACCGCCAGAGGGTAGTCTCTGGTGCTGGCGGATCTGGCTGTGTTGCCTAAGTGAGGCATGCTACACTTACCAACGTTAAACCGCAGGAGTCAACTGTTTGATCACTCTTCCAATCGATTTTGGTTCATATGTAGTCTGTCTTCTCCGACAGGTCCCGGACTAAAATCCACATCTTCATGTCATCGGCAAAAATTTCTACTTCGCAGTCAAAGCTCTTGCACAATTGTCTATGTGTATTAGGAACAAAATGGGTCCCAGCACTCATCCCTGGGGAACGCCAATCTCGACGACAGCAGGATCCTATTTTCCTTGATTGATGCACACAACCTGCTGTCGACCCAAAGGGAGGTTTTCGATCCATTTGAGGAGGTTGCCATTTTTCAGTTTGTGTAACAGTCTCTGGTGCGGCGCAGTGTCGAACGCCTTCCGGAAGTCAAATAAAGCCATGTTGACCGCGTGCCCGTCGTCGAGTACTTGGGCCCAGCTCTGAAGAGATTACAGCAAGGTTGTCATGCAGGATCCTCCTCTCCGGAACCTACGTTGGCAGTTTGATAGCAAGTCGTTAACTTCGAGGAATTGCGTCAATTCACTCTTCATGATCCTCTCCAAAACTTTTGCAAAAAATGAATACAGAGCTTGTAGCGTATGATGCCAGGGCCGTCAGGACATCGTGCCACATGCGCGTGATAAGCGAACGATCTAGTTCATGTACCCCCGTTCACACCTTCTTTGTGCTAACTGACCACTCACCAGCCTGTAACATCCCCCCTGCCATAACCCCGGTCGTTTCCAAAAGCCTTCTCATTTGTGCTGCCTCTCATACCCAGTGCACATCCCATATCCAACCAACCTTCTGTTTTGCATACCAAACAAGTCTTATAGAGTGTAATTTGCCGTCGATGCCCTGCTATCTCCTTTGCATAGTGGAGTAATATGCGCCGGCTTCCAATCCGTAGGAAGTGTTCCAGTGTCAAGTGACGTTTGGAAGAGCATCAAAAAAGGCACAGGAGGCTCACTGGAAAGTTCCTTGAGAAGCTTGGGTGGAATCCCGTCTGGGTCTGGCGATTTTGATTTGTTCACTGCCTCAAATTCTCTTCGAACAATACCTTCTGAGATGAGTATTTTGCTTATGCTTAGAGTCGGCAGTTCTTCTGTGGATTAATGAAGGAACTTTGCCTCGTTCGTGTAGACTGATCTGAAAAACTGTGGAAAACACGCAGCTTTTTTCCTGCTATCAGCAATTTCAACGCACTGGTAGTCTTTATTCGGGGGATTCGGTGTCGGTTCCTTGTATTTCTTCGACGGTAGCTATAGAGTAATTTTTGGGTTCTGTGTTGCTTTTCGGAGCAAATTCTTCTTAAATTCTCGGCGCGTCTTCATAAGCATGCTTCTCAGTTTGTTTCTTTTTGTCTTGTAGGTGTGTAAATACCCAACTTGCCCAGTGACGCAGTCTTTTCTCCACAGTTTGTGTTTCCTGTTAATTTATTTCTTTAGGTTGCCGTTTAGTCACCCAGGGCCGCTTGCTTTGCCTTTCACTTGTCAGTGGGCGGTGATTGTTAATGAACTGCAGAAGGATATTCTTGAACCACTCTCAGTCATCGTCGGCATTACCCGTAAACGTTGAGTTCCAGTCGAAAACGGATTAGTGTGTCCTCATCTCATCAAAACCGCCCCGCCAAATTTTGCGTCTCTTTGGTCTGGAGTATGAAAAATGGAGAATAACGAATAATCATACATAAGCATTACGTTGTTGCTTGGGCCGAGGGACGGCATGGGGATGACCTCGTCTATGCTGTCCGATGGCTTCGTAAAGAATATATCCGGCCAGTTGGCCGTTTGTACTTCACGTGTTCTCGTTGGAAACATTGCATGTTGTGTCCCTGTAACTGTCCATAAAGTGCCTTTGAACAAGGTATAAAAAATATAGCAGAAAAGATTACATAATTTACACAGCCCCACCTACTGACTGGAATCAGAAATGAGTATATTGCAAGTCCTATCTATTTGATAAAGACAACCTTGATTTAAATAAAATCAAGAAAAAGAATTAAATTCTACTATTCAACCGTATCTCACAGAACATACGCAACAAGTGACAGACAGCTATCTCACTAATGGGCATTGACCAGATTACATGAAGTCTACTAGCACCTGCTCGATTCGCTTGGGCGTACAATACAAGGCGTGAGCCAAATAGTCGCCAACACCAAACGTTTTCTACCACCTAGATGTCGTTTACGGACATTCCGCGCGTGGAGTGGCCTCTTTGGGATCGCCTAACCGAATGCATGACATGACAACTTTACCCACTACTTTCGAAAACGCCTTCATCGACTTCTCTGTCGCACCCACCACAACGCCCACGACGACGACTACCTACGTCGTTCAGCAAACTCCCGACACCCCGCCGTCGCCCACCACATACATCACTTTTGCCATAACCCCTATGCGGACGCCGGCGATGACTACCACCATTCTCACTGTCACCACTGATGATGACACTTGCGGCGCCTTACCACCCACCAACAACGTCACCGCCGACGCCCACCACCAGCAGTGTGAACTTAATCTCAACCCACTCCAACTGGGATCCTACCTTCATATCACGCATCGGCCGGTCGATAACTTGCCATTCCATCTCACTTAGGATAGCGAACCACTGCGAGGTGCACCGATGCATTCACGTCGCACACGCCTCAGCCGCCCTCACTATCAACACGAGTTCAATAGTCGCGTTGGCCAAGTTTTCCAAGGCGTCTCTATGAAAATCTGCCGTAAAGCACTCCAGATTAAACCTCATCACCACACATCTCCTCACCAGCTCATATACCACGCACACCCGTACCACGTCAGCGTCCACGGACACAGAATAGTGGAACGCGAGCATTTTGGCGCAACCTGGTGTTCGACCAGGACGTGTGTGATACATGTAAACAAGTTATTCCAGTTCTTCCGGCCACTGGATATAAGCCTTGCACCAGACGGCCGACAAGCCCGGATAGTTGACTGGTCCGAGGGGAATGGAATTGAGAATGAGGTCGATTCTTGGGTCCCGTCTCCACAAGACTTTAGCGCATTTCCGCATTCGTAATAGTTCGACACGTTTGGACTATCATTGTGGGCTCAAAGTCGTGGCCTAAAAGTCTAGTAACTGACGGGTTAAGTCGGTCTTCTTCCCAGGATTCAGGTCCAGACTGTAATGGCTCCTCCTCTACGGCACTCATACTCAGATATCCGAGCCACCTCTTTCCTTCTTTGAAAACGTGGCCCCTCGTGAGCGGACCAGGCGGGTATGAAACGTGACAGTTCGACCGTCGATTTCGACGATGTCCACCGTGTGCCCCACAGCTGCAGCAGCGGTGGGAGCAGGGACGGTGACTTACGCAGGGGTTTATAGTGCCAGTAGACTTGCGTAGCATCTACCTACACTCTCTCCTCCCCCGCCTGGGCCCGGTGTCAAGACAGAGTCAAGAAGACCGGAGACGAGGGAGGCCGCAGGTGGATGGCTCGGACGGATCCTCACCTTGGCGTTCCACCACACCCCCTGGTCCACACAACAATAACCAGGATTTGAACCAACACAACATAGATTTGGAGGCTGGCACGGCCGAAGCCGCATCTGGGCGTGCCGCCAACGCCTGGCTCGGATCCCACACTGTGGTGGGAATGCCATAAAGGCCACATTAAAAAGGAGCCATTGCAGCCTGACTCTCGGACCGCCTCCAGTAATGGAGGAGGTCTAAGGTACCCCGTCAGTTGGCAACCTTCCAAGCCACGGCTTTTAGCGCACCGTGATAGCTTCAAGCGCGTCAGATTGATTATAGTGAGGAAAATGCGCTGAGTCGTCGACCTCACTCTCCCTTCCCATTCCCACACCCCAGCCACTGTCCGAGCCAGTCAGTAGACTGGAGTGGAGAATGGGCGCGGTGGCTGACATGGTCGACTGACCATGCCTGCGCGCGCCACAGCACGACCTGGCCCTCCATACACACAAACACCAGGATTTCACACAACGGGGGTTGAACGGCGTGACTCGTACATGCGTGAGAGGGCCGTGGAAGGTGCTGCTTCAGCCCGTCCCCAACCCACCAGTCCGCCACTACACAACACACACACACACACACACACACACACACACAACGTGACGAAATGCGTGAATCGAGAACGGGCGTCAATCAGCAACCTTCCTTTCCATGACACTTGACGTGTCGGGATAGTCTCGGACTCAAGTCACTCGTGCAGCCGAGGCCGCATGGGGACCGAGTCGAGATGCACACTTCCCACTTGCGTGGGAGGCGGCAGTTGAGTGCATGAGGTGTGTGAGGGTTGACGTCTAGTGGGGTGATGATGTTAGGAGGTAGGGAGTGAGGGAATGTGTGGTGTGACCGGCGGTTGTCTACCGCAGGTCGTTGTGGATGCGCATGTGGCCGAATAGACCCATGCGATGCGTGAAGGTGCGAGGGCAGTGTGGGCAGTGGAGGCGAGTGCGGTGGGTGTAGGTTGGTGCTCCAGGCACTGGTTCGCCAGTCTCTGTGCGATGGATTCGCAAGTGACCCACCAGGCCGATGCGTGAGGTGAAGGCGCGTGGACAATGTGGGCATGAGAGGTCGGCGGTGTCGGTGTCAGCTGTAGAGGAAGCAGTGGTGTTGGTGGTGGCGGTGGTGGTGATGGTCGGCGCGTGTGACGGTGGGGCGAGGATGGGTCTGGGCGTGTTGGATGTCGTGGCTGTATCGGAATTGCGGTCAATGCCGCTCTCGTGGATGCGCATGTGGCCGAATAGACCCGTGCGATGCGTGAAGGTGCGAGGGCAGTGTGGGCAGTGGAGGCGAGTGCGGTGAGTGTAGGTTGGTGCTCCAGGCACTGGTTCGCCAGACTCTGTGCGATGGATTCGCAAGTGACCGACCAGGCCGTTGTGTGAGGTGAAGGTGCGGTCGCAGTGAGGGCAGGTGGGGGTGGTTGCGGTTGCTGTGTCGTGGTTGGCGATGTGTGAGACGGCAGCCTGAACGGCCACCGCTGGGGCAGTGGAGGAGAAGGAGGAGGATGGAAGTGGTGGTGCAGAAGGGGTGTCAGAGTTAGTTGGCGGAAGAGAGGACGAGGAATAGGCGGGCGCGGAGACGATGGCTGGAGCAGTTCGAGAGGTGCAATTGATTCGAAGATGTCCAACAAGTCCGATTCGTGCGCGGAATGTCCGTTGACATCGAGGACACGTAGGGAGAGGTTGTGCGGCGGCGTTGCGTATTGGGCGAAGTTGTGATTTGCGGACTTCGCGTTTCACTTTGGCGGCGGCGATGCGGTTGGCTTCGTAGATAGCAGCGCCCGCCTTCACTGTTCTCCTAAATGTCGGACGATCGCGGGCGAGCTCTTCCCAGTTGGTCGGGTTGATGTGCAGGCGCTTCAGGGAGGACTTCAGAGTATCTTTGTAACGGCGAATTTGGCCTCCTTGACGACGAGAACCCGTCGCGACGTCTCCGTAGAAGAGTCGTTTGGGTAGTCGCTCGTCGTCCATGCGCACCATATGGCCGCTCCAGCGCAGCTGCATTTGACTCAACATGGAGTAGATGCTCAGAATTCCCGTCCGTTCCAGCACTTCGGTGTCGGGGATGCGGTCCTGCCAGTTCAGCCTCAGTACGCGGCGGAGACAGCTGAGGTGGAAGTGGTTTAGTCGACATGCCTGCCTCGTGTACACCGTCCAGGTCTCCGCTCCGTACAGTGGCGTCGGCAGGATGACGGACTTGTACATCTTCAGCTTTGTGCTCAGTTGGAGACCATGACGATTCCAAACTGTGCTTTGGAGGCGACCGAAGGCTTGACTGGCGTTCGAGATCCTGTTGGCGACTTCGTCGTCGATCTTGGTGTTGCGGGAGAGCGTGCTGCCCAGGTACGGGAAGTTCTCTACCACTTGCAGTTGAGTCCCATTCACGTTGATTTGCGGCGCGTTGGGGGCTGTGGCGGAGTTGGGAGGTGGCTGATGCATCACCACCGTCTTCTGCGTGTTGATAACCAGCCCAAAGTTCTCGCAGGCGGCGGAGAATAGGTCCATGCTCCGTTGCATCTCCACTTCTGAAGTGGTGTTCAGGGCGCAGTCGTCGGCGAAGAGGAGTTCGTGCACGGTGGCTGTGGATACACGCGATTGGAAGTTCATGCGCCGGCGATTCAGGAGATGACCGTCCGTTCTATAGGCGATGCGGATTCCAGGGCGTTCGTCGCGGTAGGCGTCCATCAGCATGGCAGAGAACAT